TTGCACAAGTAATGAACACATGGTAAAGTTTTCATTGGAAATGCCGACGCTTCAGCCAAGCTACTTTGGCGGTCCACAGGGAAAACAATGACAAAATGCCCACCTTGCGGCTAGTATGATCCGCCTTCTGGCTGAGGACTTTCCAGCTGTCACGTTTCGCTTTATCTTCCGATGGCGCTGATCAATGCATGCCAGGATTCCTCGATGAATAGTTTTAGCTGTGACGCCTCATTGCCGAGTGCGTTGACATCTATGGAGCGAGGAAAGACGAGTTGCCCTCATTTCGCGTTATTTCTTACAAGATCTAATAACACAGTTGCATTTAGGAAGAGATCAACCAATGGTTATCACGGTGCTTGAAGGTAATCACATTTTTGGCTCTTTTTGGTCATTCATTGGATGTCCGTTAAAGGCAACGCAGCAGACTCGTCACGGTGCCGACTACACATGTCTTCAGATGGAAACGATTCCCGAAGAAGTGTTTTTCACCGGCAACGACCCAGTCTATCACCTGAACTTGAAGCGTAACTGTTTGACGGAACGCCAGGCTCATTCGGTATGACACTATGAGCATTCTGCCAGTCTCGACGTCTGCTTGTCGGTTTGCTGCCCGATTATCGATCTGAGCTTCTGGCAGTCAATACCTTTGTCTGTCTGCCTGTTTTTTGTACTTTTATCTGCTGGTGTGTTTGATTGTCTGCAAATCGATCGGCAAATGAGGAATGAGTCTGACGATTTTTCTATCTATCTGTCTGTGTACCATTTCATCGATCATTCTATCTGTTCATGTACCTGTTTGCATGTCTACATTCATCATTTCACGTGTCCATTGATCTACTTATTTACCACTGCCCCTCTTTAACTATTTGTCCCTTTCTGTCCGTAAGTCAAGAGCGGCATACGTGAAATTATAAGACAGAGTTCCTTTAAATGGTTTGCAGTCACCATATTTATTCATTAAGAATAAATACTTCATCGGATTTTTGGACGACCTGCCACTACTGAACTCACTGAGAGTCCTCAACCTATCGGACAACGATCTTCTGCGCGTACCAACGAGTATCTTCAAGCTTCCACATCTGACCGAGCTTTCACTGGCGGGCAATAAAATAAGGGAACTTCCTCTGCAGATCGGCCTTCTTGTAAAGTACGAGCCTCAACAATGCCAGGTTCACTGTTGCGCTGAATGGTTTTTTCTGTTTTTAGTCTGAAGGTATTGAACCTGCAGAACAACTGGTTGGAGTCGTTGCCAGAGGAACTCTCGAAATGTGAGTCTCTGTCCTCGCTGGACGTGAGTTTCAACCGGTTTCGTATAATCCCCACCGTTTTGACGGTCATGCCTTCCATAGAAGACTGGCTTTTCAGTGGCAACGCGATCAGCCATATTCGCCTGATGATTCTGTTCGACGGTCCAGTTCACGTGCGTCGGGTGGGTCGTAATTGTACACGCTCGCTTAGTGACCGATGCTAATCGCATTTTGTTTCAGATCGAACTGAGGCACAACAAGTTGCTCAGTTTACCGAGTGATGCCACAGCCTTTGGACTGCTACATAATTTGACTCATCTCGACATCAGTGACAACAGTGCAATAACTTCGTTGGAACTTTCCTACCTCACGTCCTTGCAGGTTCGTCGAGTAATTGAGTTATAATGGACGTAACTTGAACCCATGAGCACTTCTGAGCACCATGAGTTCGGCTAATGCTATCAGGCGATAACTGTTTAGCATTGGAATCAAAAAATGTCTCATTTTTTCCAATCAGATTGATTTATATTTTGTGATTAGTATCGTAACTCAAATTTTTTACCTTCATTTTTTCGAATTACGATAAACCTCCTAATGAGTCACACAGCGATCAAGGTCATAACGTTTTAAAACAAAATTAGGTTACTGTGTCTGTCCTCTGCAACCCTCAAGAGGACATATTTGAATAGCATATGACTGAAACAATTTGATGCCTATTAAGTTCAGTTCTAAGATTGATTTTTTGCCTGTTCATTTACTAGATTCCCCCCCCC